GTGGCGCTGCCACGCGGCGCGATTCCGGGCCTTCCACACTCCACCTTAGCCCTGCCCCATTCCCCGTCCCCCCATTTTTTCCCCATCCATGACATGTACCGCTATCCCTCCGGTGTTTCCACTTTGCCACTGTAACGTCTTTACCCCTCGACTCTCCCTTCCCTCCTATGACGTTGTGCCATGCGCCCCCTCCTCCACTTCCTCCCAACTCCACTCGCGCTATCGCTCTGCGCCTCTTCAAATTATTTCCCTCCATCCTACTGTGGCTTCTGCTGCCCTTCTCTCCCCTCCTTTCCCCAATTCTCACGCACCCCTCTTCATTCTCCTTCTCCCACCAATCCATTTGCATCTCTCTCTCTCTCTCTCTCTCTCTCTCTCTCTCTCTCTCTCTCTCTCTCTCTCTCTCTCTCTCTCTCTCTCTCTCCACCTTCACTTGAACTCTTCCTTTGCTCTGTACCACACCAGACCTCTGCCCTCCCTCCTCCTTCCATCTGCCCTCCTCACAGGACTTCACCCTGTCGTCTTTCCCCTTCCTCCCGGCCTCCTTCCACCTCCTCCTCTTCCTCTTCACGCTTTTTCCCATGCGCGTCTCCCCCTTACTTCTTCCCTTCCTTCATACCTCACTCAACCTCTAAACTACCTTCTGCTTTCTGTCCTCCCTCCGCCCTACTCCCTGCCGCCTCCCTTTTCTCTCGGCCTCCTCTGGACCTTCTCTTAAAACCTCCCTCTGCCCTCCCTTCGCCTGGCCACCTCACTCCCCTTCCTCCCAATCTCCGCCTGACCTCCTTCCCTCTATCTCCTTTGTCCTCTCCTCCCGATTTGCGCTGACCTCCTCCATCCCCCGATCTCCTTCCTCCCCTTCCTTCCTTGGCCCGATCTCCACCTAACCTCCTGCTTCCGCCCTACTCTCTGCCGCCTCTCCCCTGCCTACTGGCCTCCTGCGCACGTTCTCTTCAATCCCCCTCATTCCCCTTCGTTCGCCCCCTTCGTTCGCCCTATCTCTGTCTGACTTCCTCCTTCCCTCGATCTCCTTCCTCCCCTTCCTTCCTCAGCCAGATCACCACCTGACCTCCTCCCCCTTCCATTCCTCCCTCTGTCCTACTCCCTACCTCCCCCTTCCTCCCTCGACCATCCGCCCTTCCTTCGTAATGCCCAACCTAAGAAGTGCTGCTTTTTCTTTATCTGGTGGAGGTAAACGCTCCATTTGTTATCACGATCGCTCCATTTCTTTTAGAGATCTCAGCACGGTTGCACACGCACAAGAAGGAGAGAGGGAAAGCAGGAGAGAAAAAATGCATTTCACCTAACACACTTCCGCCTCTCGCTCTTCCTTCCTCGCACTTTGTCTGTCTCCTCCACCACAAAACGTACGTCTTCTGCCGCCTCAACATTCTCCCTCGTTTTTTTCTCTTTGGAACGGCCTTATGATTAACTGCCCTTCGGCAGGTATTTCAGGCTATCGATATTTCTTTCCATATTTCACTCTCTTCCTCCCCAGTCCCACG